CTCCTCCCAGTTTGGTGTCATCAGCAAACTTGCTGAGGGTACATTCTAACTCTTCATCCAGGTCGTTGATGAAGAAGTTAAACAAGGCTGGGCCCAGTACTGACCCCTGGGGAACACCACTAGTTACCAGCCTCCAACTAGACTCATCGCCGCTGATGACAACCCTCTGAGTTCTGCCATTCAGCCAGTTCTCAATCCACCTCACCGACCACTCATCCAGCCCACACTTTCTGAGCTTCCCTAGGAGGACGTTATGGGAGACAGTGTCGAAAGCCTTGCTGAAGTCTAGGTAGACAAGATCCATGGCTCTCCCCTCGTCTACCCAGCCAGTCATGCCATTGTAGAAAGCTATCAGGCATGATTTCCCTTTGGTGAATCCCTGCTGACTACTCCTGATAACCTTCTTTTCCTCCACTTGCTTGATGATGACCTCCAGGATAAGCTGCTCCATCACCTTTCCCGGGATGGAGGTGAGGCTGACCGGCCTGTAGTTCCCTGTCAATTAGTTACCTTCATAAGTAGTATTACAAGAAAAAAAAGTATTTGTTGGCTTTGCAGCATGCAGAGGTTAAAAAAAGCAGAATTTCAATGACAGGTTTCTATTGACATGTCTCATACCCTGTGACATACCCTTTGTTGCACAAAGCACATTCACAGGTGTACCCCTCTACAATTGCACAGTTCGAGACAATTCACTCAGCAGATATTGGAAAATTATAGTCTTTGTTTTTTAGCTGACAGCATGCAAATGCAAGAGAGCATCTTGGAAATTCTCTTCAGGGTATGCTTTCATAGATAAAAATACTCTGCTGGATTTTGGGTAAATATATTTTTTTAGCCATCATGCAAAATCTGGAGGTTTTCCTTAAAAATAGCTGTGGAACTATATAGCTCTCACAAACTATAATAATTGAGTGATGTTCATCCCATAGACTTTGTGTTGTATTTTTCAGCAGCTAAAGCAAAATTGGATAAAAGTGAATAGCACATTCAGCTAGTTTACTGTGCTGCTTGAAGGACCTTTTTATGTGTTAAATGAGCACCAGGATATTTTCACTACATACTGATTGTAAAACCCAAGAAAATAGAAACATATATAAAACATATTGAAATTATAAGGGAAAGTATCGAATTGTTTTAAGCTATTTATGCGGAGGAAGAAAAGAGAAACAGGTAGTTCAAGATATGTATGAACTTCTTTGGTTAGTGCATTATTAAAGCATATACTGATTTAAGGGATAAATTACACATGGTAGCAATCACAGATTATGGTAATCTGTGTTATGAGGAGGTTGAGAAGTAAGATCATAGTAGGAAGAGCAATGTAAATGAAAGATAAGGCACTAAAAATTGCTGGTTTACATCTTCCTATTTTTCTAGATAAAAACTAACAGGCATTCTGTCACTCTGTATAATTACTGAGATCTGTGGTCTAAAATTGTCCTTAAAAAGATTACTACAACTGCTTTATTTTTATTCCTGTACAGTTCGTAGAACACTAAACAAAATTTTATATCTATATAAAATACATAAAATATTACATATAATAAATGATATTTTAAATATAATATATATATGTATATTCCACATGGGAAAACATAATCCAGGAGTGCAGCATAGACTGGGACCTACCAGGCTGGGGAGTCACTCTGTGGAAAGAGACCCAGGGGTCCTGGTGGACAACAAGCTCAATATGAGTGAACAGTGTGCTGCAGCGAAGTTTTGGGTTACATCAACAAGCACATCACCAGTAGAGATATAGAAATCATTATCCCACTCTACTCAGAGCTTATCAGGCCACACCTGGAATACTGTGTTCAGTTTTGGTCCCCGCTATGCAAAAAAGATGTGGACCCAGTGGAAAGGGTCCGGAGAAGGGCCAGAAAGATGGTCAAAGGACTGGGAAACCTGCCATATGAGGAAAGGCTGAGACAACTGTGTTTGTCCAGCCTCGATAAAATAAGGCTTAGGAGAGACCTTATCACCATGTTCCAGTATTTAAAGGGTACCTACAGAGAAGATGGAGGCTTCATTTTTACACGGAGTCATATGGAAAAGACAAGGAGTAATGGGTACAACTTACTCCTGGGGAGACTCTTATTGAGCACAAGAGCAAAATTTTTCACAATGAGAGCAATCAGCCATTGGGATAATCTCCCCAGGGAAGTGGTGAATTCCCCAACATCAGACACTTTTAAGATTCTGCTGGGCAGGGTTCTGGGCTGTCTTGTCTAGACCATGCTTTTGCCAAGAAATATTGGACCAAATGATCCTTGAGGTGCCTTCCAACCTGGTATTCTAAGATATGTATAAAAGAGGAAAACTGATATTTTAATTCTAATGCCACTGGTTATGATAATGCTTTTTGGGTACTGTAGTCTTAATTGTGTAAACAAACATAAAGTTAGATAATTAATTTCACTTAGATAATGAATTTCACCATGGATTATAACCAAAACAGATGTCTCAGTTCTACGTTACTGAAAAAAATCTCATTGCAAAGCTTGTATTATAAAGTATTGCATTATCAGTTGATGGGGAAAGATTTTAAAATACAACCAAAATCTAATTAAGCTGGGAAAAGACGTAAAATGTATTTTTTATTTGCATTTTAAATTCCAAAGGACTTGCTATTCTTGATTAACTATTAGCATGCAGAATTCATATGGATGAAACTCTTGTAGAGAAGAGATGCAAGTGCAGTGCACTGAGACAACAATTGTATTCATAGAATCACAGAGTAGTTTGGGTTGGAA